GCTAAAACGAAAGTGATTTTTCCTACAATCAAGGGCCATAATTCAGAAAATTACAATTCGATATGCGCAAATATCGAAAAGAACCGAGATCTTTGGGTTATAAACTTACATTTCAAGTTTCAACAAAATCGGATAAAAATTGTGACCTCTATAGGGTCCACAACCTTGATATACCATATTTTTTACGCTATTTGAGAACGAGGTGTGGCCATTTTGTCTGTCAGTTTTGGGCATATTCTCACGAAATTCGAACTCAGCCGTCCTTATGGTGTAACGTGTTATATACTAATACGTTTTTTTTTTAAATCGGATAAAAATTATGACCTCTATAGGCTCCACAAGCTAAAAACGCGATTTTTCGTACAATCAGGGGCCATAATTCAGGAAGTTACGGTCCGATATGCGCGAATATCGAAAGGAACCAAGATCTTTGGGTTATAAACTTACATGTCAAGTTTTAAACAAAACCGGATAAAAATTGTGACCTCTATAGGGTCAACAACCTTGATATACCATATTTTTACGCTACTTGAGAACGAAGGGCGGCCATTTTGTCTGTCAGTTTTCAGCTGATTTTGACGAAATTCGAACTCAGCCGTCCTTAGGGTCCACAAGCTAAAAACGCGATTTTTCGGACAATCGGGGGCCATAATTCAGGAAGTTACGGTCCGATATGCGCGAATATCGAAAGGAACCAAGATCTTTGGGTTATAAACTTACATTTCAAGTTTCAACAAAATCGGATAAAAATTGTGACCTTTATAGGGTCCACAACCATGATATACCATATTTTTACGCTATTTGGGAAAGAAGGGCGGCCATTTTGTCTGTCAGTTTTGGACTGATTTTCACGAAATTCGAACTCAGCCGTCCTTAGGGTGTAACGGTGATATAATAATACGGTTTTTTAAATCGGATAAAAATTATGACCTTTATAGGATCCACAAGCTAAAAACGCGATTTTTCGTTCAATCAGGGGCCATAATTCAGGAAGTTACGTTCCGATATGCGCGAATATCGAAAGGAACCGAGATCTTTGGGTTATAAGCTAGAAACGTGATTTTTCGTACAATCAGGGGCCATAATCCATGAAGTTACAGTCCGATACATGCCAATATCAAAAGGAACAGAGATCTTAGGGTGATAAACATATATTTCAAGTTTCATTGAAATCGGATAAAAATTGTGACCTGTAGACTGTTCACAAACAATTGTGGACGGACGGACGTCCGGGCGGAAGGATGGACGGACAGGGTCGACGACAAAATACGCCCACATGAAAATGTGGGCGTATAACGAGAAATAGAAACAGTCCGTAAATTCACGTGTGTTTATTCATTCTATACTTATATAAACATTTTTCTTTCATGTTCTCTTATCTAGTGACAGTCAATTCTTTTTATGAATTGTCAGATATCCTTTCACAGTCTCACACAACAACTTTTGATCTTCGAAGGAATTATTAGTGAGCAAAAATTCGCCCATGTACCTGTTATCACCTGTCACTTTAGTCAGTTATATAGAGGGATAACTCGTGTTTTCCTTTGCGTTCGTCACTTCCGATTGTTGAAACATTGATTACACATCTATCGTAGCAATGATCTCTGTGATAAAATAATATTTGGAACGTCTTTAACCAGTTCTATCACATATGTGATAATGACTGGCACGTGCCTTTCAATGAAATACCTCACGTGCGTCTAATATTGTTGCATCTAGTATAAAGGTACGATTGCCAAGTTGCTCGTAAATTATGTGATGTCACATCTGTGTTTTAAGTATAAATACTAGCCTGTCCAGTGGATATCCTGTCAGCCTAATGACTTGTCTGCCTAAAGGCTATATATATGCACTGGTCTGCCTAAAGGCTATATATACTATTCAAAAAAAGTAGGGGATATTTGATTTTTAAGTGTTATTAAAGTCACCTAATGAAACTGACGGAAGAAACAAATGACAAAATGAAATGAAGTTCACATTCATCGATTTATTCCAAATGATCGTTAGACTAAGTAAGGCACAGACTGACCATTATAAGGGTAAAATGATACCCGGGGTCAAACAGCAAAGTTACCACAGCATCACAACCAAGTCAGTAACGGGTAAATCCTCCTCTGTTTGCCAAACAAGCATTGATCCGACGTGGCATACTCCTAATGAGACGTCTAAGGTCATTTTGGTCCAGATTGTCCCATTCCTGTTGCAACGCAGCAACAAGTTCTTGGACATTGGCAGGACGTTGTTGACGTTGACGTAACCTCTGTCCAAGCATGTCCCAGACATGCTCGATGGGGGAGAGGTCGGGACTCAGTGCTGGCCAAGGTAATGTGGTGATGTTCTGTTGTTGGAGGTAACCTGTAACGATCCTGGCCCTGTGACATCTTGCGTTGTCATCCTGGAAGATGAAACGGCGGCCATGACGTCGTGCGAACGGCACAACATGGACTGCCAAGATATTGTCCCGGTAGTACTGGCCTGTAACACGCCCTGCAACAACATGTAAAGCCGTTCTTCCAGCAACAGTGATGCCTCCCCACACCATAACAGAACCACCCCTAAATCGATCATGTCTGATGACGTTAACGTTTCGACGACGCCACACCCTCCTACGTCTGTCCAAAAAATCAACAGTGAACCTTGACTCATCTGAAAACATCACATTGCTCCAGCGTCGATTATCCCAGTGTTGACGATCCCTACACCAACGACGTCTTGCCTGAATGTGATGATCTCTCAAACAAGGGATCACGCGAGGACGTCGGGCGCGAAGGTGACCCCTATGCAGTCGATTCCGAATCGTCTGGCCACTCACTCTCACACCAGTGTCTGTTTGAAGACGAGCGCTGATCTGATTTGCTGTGATGACACGATTTCTCAAGGCCAAGGTACGGATAAATCGATCCTGGGCTTGAGTTGTCGCCCTTGGTCGACCTGAGCGTGGTCTGTCCTGTACAGATTGTGTATCACGGTATCTGGACCATAGCCTGCTTATGACAGACTGAGAAACATTCATCGTCCGCGCCACAACCGCCTGTGTTGTGCCGATCTGTAGCATGCCAAGGGCACGTAACCTTTCATTTTGGGTAAGCCGACGCATATCAAAATTTGTTTTCTGGTCACTAAAACAATTAAACTGATGTTTCCACCCTGGAATTCAATGCCACAATGACTGTAACATTCAAAGTCAGAGTCGTGCAAATCTTGGATTGGACCCCCATGATGATCCCAAGCATCACCTGCATTCCATGCGGTAGCTATTAGTGCGTTTGGGCGTCACATGTAACTGGAAATGTTTCTTCTGTTAGGTTCTATAGTGACTTTTTTCGTAGTCATTTGCATATTTTAGTATTATGCCCCCCAAATCAAATATCCCCTACTTTTTTTGAATAGTATATATACACTGGTCTGCCTAATATCTATATATATATATATATACTATTCAAAAAAAGTAGGGGATATTTGATTTTGGGGGCATAATACTAAAATATGCAAATGACTACGAAAAAAGTCACTATAGAACCTAACAGAAGAAACATTTCCAGTTACATGTGACGCCCAAACGCACCAATAGCTACCGCATGGAATGCAGGTGATGCTTGGGATCATCATGGGGGTCCAACCCAAGATTTGCACGACTCTGACTTTGAATGTTACAGTCATTGTGGCATTGAATTCCAGGGTGGAAACATCAGTTTAATTGTTTTAGTGACCAAAAAACAAATTTTGATATGCGTCGGCTTACCCAAAATGAAAGGTTACGTGCCCTTGGCATGCTACAGATCGGCACAACACAGGCGGTTGTGGCGCGGACGATGAATGTTTCTCAGTCTGTCATAAGCAGGCTATGGTCCAGATACCGTGATACACAATCTGTACAGGACAGACCACGCTCAGGTCGACCAAGGGCGACAACTCAAGCCCAGGATCGATTTATCCGTACCTGGAAGAACGGCTTTACATGTTGTTGCAGGGCGTGTTACAGGCCAGTACTCTACCGGGACAACATCTTGGCAGTCCATGTTGTGCCGTTCGCACGACGTCATGGCCGCCGTTTCATCTTCCAGGATGACAACGCAAGATGTCACAGGGCCAGGATCGTTACAGGTTACCTCCAACAACAGAACATCACCACATTACCTTGGCCAGCACTGAGTCCCGACCTCTCCCCCATCGAGCATGTCTGGGACATGCTTGGACAGAGGTTACGTCAACGTCAACAACGTCCTGCCAATGTCCAAAAACTTGCTGCTGCGTTGCAACAGGAATGGGACAATCTGGACCAAAATGACCTTAGACGTCTCATTAGGAGTATGCCACGTCGGATCAATGCTTGTTTGGCAAACAGAGGAGGATTTACCCGTTACTGACTTGGTTGTGATGCTGTGGTAACTTTGCTGTTTGACCCCGGGTATCATTTTACCCTTATAATGGTCAGTTTGTGCCTTACTAAATACTTAGTCTAACGATCATTTGGAATAAATCGATGAATGTGAACTTCATTTCATTTTGTCATTTGTTTCTTCGTCAGTTTCATTAGGTGACTTTAATAACACTTAAAAATCAAATATCCCCTACTTTTTTTGAATAGTATATATATATATATATTGAAATGGCCTGGGCCATTCTTGTTGTTTATTTCACTCGTTCGCTTGTTGACGTTCGTGAGCCTTTATTCTAACTATAGTAACATAGGGATGTCTTTCGTTTCTTTATGATAACGTGTGTTGTCGGTGATTATTTACAGTGATTGTAATGATAAATTTTATAGAAACTATGATTAGCATAAGTAATATTAATTGTTGAGTGATGTAAGCTATTAATCGTGTTTAATGCCATCATGTGTTGTCTAAATTTAGAGTTATTTTATACCTATAACGAGTGAAGATGGTCCTAGTATTTGGGTCCGCTGAACGACACGTCGTTTACTACATGGATTTTGATGCGTATCGTCGTTTCAATAACATTAAATGTGTCAATTAAATCTCAGTAATCTACCTTACCTTCATATTATGTTCACTATTATATCCATGAACTGCTATAATCCTGATTCATAGAGTAAATCCTTTTAACTTCCTCTCGATTTCTACGAGGGTCTGGGAAGCCGCCATTTTCGAAAACGGTTGTTAGAGCGAGGTCGATGACGGGGACACAAATACTTCTTATTTCTAGTTATTACCAATAATAAATAAATGTCTAAGAGATGATCGCTAATAAAGTGATACTTATAAAGGGTTGTTAGATTATCGTATCTAGGTTCAATTAAGTCTATTGTGCTTAGATTAAACATTACGCTCGGTTCAAGCAAGGCCTTGCTTGACTTGTTTGTGTAGAACTAGGAAATTCATACGCCGTGATCAACTTGGCAACAGGGATTGTGCTAATATTTTCGGGGCTAATCATATAATTATCCGTTAATTTACCTTTTCATCTTCATCGAAATTGGATGGAGTATGTTATTCCTCGCATAATTTGTAACGGTTGTATATAGCGATATTGAGTTCTACCTTGTTAAAATTAGTCTTTTGTATTTGAGGCGTAATGTTCGGTCATGGTAACGTCGTGGGACGTAATCGAGACGTAATCAAGGACGCATTGTTATTACATTAATTTTATTATTATTCTGTACATCAATTAGTATTCTAAGAGTTGTTTATTAGTCAGATTAGCTATATATTTGTATTGCCAACTTATTGCCTCCTCAAAGAATAGTTGTTTATTGATAATAATTACATTTCAGGTACCAGTATTGTAAAGTAGATCCTTCCTAGGCAAAATACGTCCCCTTTTTACGTGATTTGATTGGTCGAGACAGTCACGTGACACCTAAAGCGAAGGTATATAAGGCCCACAGGCTTTCCATTGTCATTCACTCATTGGCGCTTGCATGGTAAGAGTCAATAGCACTAACTCCTCCCTCCCCAATTCTTAGAACCTCGTCTTAAAGGGCACATTCCATGAATATTTTTCAAGTAAAGTAAATTTTCCCAAGTTACATGTAAAGTAAATCACAAATATATTTTCATAAATTACATAATTTCCCCGATTAAATAGCCATCATTTTTGTATACTATTCTGATCGCTAGTCCTAAATTCAAAGCCACCGGAAGGAAAGCCCAAGAAGGATCTACTAAGTTATATTTCTAAGTGTATGTTCAATAATTGATGACCAAGTGAACCTGGAATAAAGTTTCATATTGTTTTGTTACCGAAAGTCGCATCTTCCTTCTTTAGGGGCGAGACCACCCTTGCCGGGGCTGCTACAATATGCACTGGTCTGCCTAATGGCTATATATATGCACTGGTCTGCCTAATGGCTATATATATGCACTGGTCTGCCTAATGACTTTTATATTAACAAATATTAGGCAGACCACCAAAAATGTATATTTTTATTTTTGAGGATTTTTTAAAAAAAAAATTCAGATATCAATTAGACAGCCCCAAAGGTGTCATTTTTAAAATTTTCATCTCCAAAAAGTAATAAGTATGGATTTTCACAAATGTCTACCTAATGCCCAAAATATAATACGGTCTGCCTAATGCCTAAATCATATATATATATATATATATATATATATATATAAAAGCAGATGAATTAAGACTTTTAATTCAAATTAAGTAGGGCAGCTTGTAGAGCTATAATTTCATATTTCACTCTAAATGATTAGGTGCCCCCTGAACTGGATACCCTTGAGCATTACCCAAGGGATGCACACCCCTGCATACAATTACCTGGCGCAGTAAGACGTTGGCTGGAGAAAGTTCATCAGAATTTTCCAGCGTGTTCCCTCCTTGTCAGGGACACTGTATAGTCCTTTAGATGGAATGGAAAACCAAGGTCCCATGTACACATTGGCATGCACATAAAAGATCCCTTGGCAGTTGGAATTCGATATAAGAGTAGGCCGTGCAGGCAAAATTACCCTCATAGCACACTGGGTGTATGCCTGTCTTTATTAGCCCAGTTTGAGTAGGACATAGGATGTTAAACCCCATTGCATTTCATTTCATTGCATAAAATTACCTATGGTATTTGTATTTTTTTTTAATGCTAATGCTCACTCAATGGTTAGACTGAAATTATAAATAATACGGGGGTGGGGTGGGGTGGGGTGGAAATGGTCTAATGCTTGCACTTTACATAATAAGGTCTGTCATTGAGTCAAGTGGCATGGTTTCGATTCCCCACATGTACGTACATAACTAGGAGTGGGTTTTCTCTGAATCTTCTGATTTCTTATGACTGCTAAAGACCCCTACGTGCGAGCAAATTATTGAATAAAATTGAATTATATGTTAGTCCCAAAATTGAGTGAGTTTGTGTGAGTGGATGTTAAACACACCTAATACATTGTAACAAGGTAGTATTAAATATAGCTGGTACTCTATACATATAGACCATAAAAATAATACTAAATAGATTAATATCGGGATATGTTGCTAGGTAATCCATGAACACACAATCTTACCCCACCCCACCCTACCCAGCCCACTTCTATCTGTACACATGAGCAATTAATCTTACAACTCTTCCACCCCACGTTTATCTGTACACATGACCTCAAAATCTACCCCGCCTCTCTCTCCCCACCCCACACTAAACAAAATATATACACAATGTGTCAGCTCTAAAATCGTTGTGTCTAGATTCTTATAGTTGAAGAAAGATATGAAATGTTGTGAAGTTGTCTGTATGCCATTAGGTAACTGGGTGAAGTAATAGCCGTAATTATTGTAACAATGTTTTCTCTGTAACAAGTCCACCATATTTCTCTCACTTCACAGTAGTCTTCCGATTCATCTTGATATGTGGTTTTATAATAATTTTCATTATAAATATTTGATCGGTTTTAAAATGAATTAAAAATTGTGACACAATTCATACAAACAGGGGCCATAATCCTGGAAGTTATGGTCGAACAATATTATCCATTATAAATATTTTAATTGACATTTAATTTGATCTATACATTTCTCATTATAACTCTGTCATGTGATGTTACAAATTGTTTTTTTAATACCGGTATTTTACCCAGTAGGCAACATTATCACTCGTTTGACCAATTAGGTTATGATATAAACAGATTCCATACATTGCATTAACAATAAACACTATCGGATGTATATCAACAACTAACACCACCGGGTGTCAAATCAGTTATATTCCACGAAATACACGGGAAGTGTCAATCAAATGGCAATCTCGAGCGTCTGGTTATTCCAGTCTACACTGGTAGTATTTGTTGCACATGCTCTTCAGATAAGAATATGGCGTCATCGTTTGACATGACTTGTGGAATATGTCGAGCCTCGTTCTTCGAGTCCCTTGTTACAAATGGCGCTGAAACGCATTCTGGTACACGATTCGTGTACCAATGTTAAAATGTTCATTTTGTCTTAAATATTAGATATCAGAAGTCCATAATTTCACCTGTAGATCACAACATCAAAGTTGATTTAAATTGACAAATAATTCATATTTTCAATGTGGAAGACTGTGCATGATACTGAGTTAAAGACTTAGCTACTTTAACACCATCGGGTGTATGAACATTAACACCATCTGGTGTATCAACATTTAACACCATCTGGTGTAAGAGTGAAGTAATACATGGATAGTATAACCAGATAAATTAACAACACAATAAAACCTGAAACAGAAACAAAAAATTCTAGACTTAAAACAGTGAACAACAAACTGACTTCTAAACTTAAACATACATTATGCAAGAGCTAAATCTGTCTATTGCAGGTCTTTCTTTAGGCCTGAAATCTTATCTAAATTATTAATTAGACATTAATTAACTTATCCAGACCATAATCAACTCTAGATGGCAGCGCTAGCCAGCGATCTTTAGTGGATTGTAAGCCGATTTACTGCATAACTTTCCTTCTCGATTAAACGATTAAATGGATAATCGAGACTATGCTGTTTATCGTACTGACTTTAGGCTAGGCAGAAATTTCATTCGCTTCGTTCTATTTTTTAACTATTATAGTAAGAACTGCCAACTCGTTATCAAATCTCCCATAACGTATCTTTAACTAGGATTGATTTTTCAAGATGTTTCAAAACTGATTCGTTTACAAAATCCCAACCACAATCTTAATGACAGGTGATCAATTTATTTATTTGGGGAGGTTTAAAAAGGTTTGCACTTCTTAAATTCAGACTTCTGTCTATTAATTACAATCTGATTAAAACACAGATCCAATTTCGATTATTTTTTATAGTTCAAAATTTCGTTTTATTTGCCTTCACTACACTAGGATCTGGAAGAGTTGTTATATAACCCACGTTTTGGCTGAAGTGAGGGATAAGCCAATGAAACCACCTGTTACAGCAACTTCTTGACGTGCACTGCACGGAACTGTGGGTAAACTACTAGAAACGTCCAAGCTCATTGATTAATCAATGCCTGACGTCACAGGTTCAAAAGTCGCTCATATGACCCCTGACATAACCTCCCATTACAACTAGTCAGATCTTCATGTTGTAGAGGTCAACGAATGTATAAAAAAACAAAACAAAATAAAGATCTGTATTTTAATCAGATTGAATTAACTCCAACAGTCATCAAAATAACGAACACACAAACGCATGAAGCATTGCCGCCATTTTGGCTCAGCTCTAATCCTATACATGTATGCATTCAATCTGTTTGACAGAGGTATTGCGAAAAGTCTTCTTATAGCTCTGTAAAAGATTACTGCTTTTAACATGTGACGTCACATAATGGGCGTCAATCATTGGCTCAATGGCACATGCATCATTGTTTACTTATTTTTCTAATACTTAAACAACATGTTTTAGAATTTAATTTGTCGGAGGAAAAAAGTTAATATTTCTGGCTCATTAAACCACAAGGATGTCATCCTTATCATTGATAAGTGGTATGCATGGAAATGATCAGAAATCTTGTCTCAGAGCTGCTGATTTTATAAAATTATCAGGCAATCCTCACGACTTTACACCAAAATTGACGTCGACACAATTTTTGTACCCTCCTGAATTTTCAAACAAAATAACTTGTTTCTTGTTGGTCAACACATGGTCTATCTGAGCCATGAATTCAATAAAACTTGGGAGTTTATCAAAAATAGAAACTGGTTGATATAAAGATGTATATTTTACCTTGAAAGTAATCACTCTTTCCATCTTGAAATATATAATTAATAACAACCACCGAGAATATAACAGAATACATATGGACATCGTTAAATATTAACTTGAAATTCAATGGCTGAAAAAACAAATTTCAATAAAATTCACTCTTCAATAAAACTGCTCTTTATTATCTCCTGGAGGGGTTTGGATGGCCGAATGGTTAGCACGTCCGTGCTGCATCACTAGGTCTATCATTGAGTCAAATGGCACATATGGTTTCGATTCCTCGGTTGTACGTGACAAGGAGTAGGGTTGTCTGTCCAACATGTGGGTTTTCTCCGGGTCCTCTGGTTTCCTCCCACTACTGAAGACCCCTACGCGCAAGTGAATTATTGAAATAAAATTGAACCATAGGTTAGTCCCAAAATGACCTAGTTTGTTTCGAGTGGACGTAAAACCCCATTTCTCTCTCTTTATTATATCCTGATGCCTTTAATGCATCAACAAATTTCTCTTTATAATTTGGATTGTTTAAATAGATTTTTGGTTATTCTGAGACTAACATGGTGATTTTGGAGGAAGAGAGAGGTTATTTTGGGACTTATATATGTTTCAATTTTTTATTTCAATAATTCACTTGTGCCTTGAGGTTGGACAGTCGATTCTACTCCTCGTAAAGTACAAGATGGGAAATCGAAACCACGCCACATGACTCAATGACAGATCTTATGATCAAAAGCGCACCCATTCAGAGAGAGAGAGAGACTAGGAACAATAGTAAAATGGAGAACAGAACCCGAGTTCAGAAGCAATTCTCTGACTTTCAATCACAGTTTATGAGAAATATCTTTTATCCAGAAACACAAAACTTTGCATATAGATTCTTATTGATATATTTGATACATTAAAACAACAAAAGTTTTATAAAGGTCTATATTTTAGTTAAAATAAGGCGAAGAATTTGGAGTAAATTCTTAACATAAGTCTGAGAATGCTTCGTGAACTCGGGGCCTGGGCTTCACTGTGTGGAGACATTCCAGCACCCACCTCAATAACTATGTCTCTATGGGTTTTGAAAACAACCAGACATCATTGTTGTGACTTGTTCCAGAGTTCATTTGAGCTACTACTGTACACGTTTTTCCAGCTATTTTTATGTCACATGTACACCAACGGCACTTAATGTTATTGAAAGAAACACAGAAATACTTACATAAATGAGATTTATTAAAACTAATAATGGAACTTGAACTAAACACACTTGTATGGCCGTCGATCCTCCAATCTCTATACTGTAATCAATAATAAAAATATATTATACTGTAATCTAGTAGTTCGGATGGGACAAAAAACGAGATTCCGTGTACATAATTGTACATACCCTCAATATAAGAGAGGGTTGCAGTGCAGTTGTCCGAGCAAAATTTCCCTTATAGCATGCTGCATGGCGTATGCCCGTCTTCATTAGCCCAGTCGGTGCAGAAAAGTAGGACATTAGCCCAGTCGGAGCAGAACATTTAACCCTGTTTCATTTATTCTTTAATCAAATTTTGTATTTCAACTTACAATATTTCAACTTGTATTTCAACTTATTATTTGTAATAATATAAATATACTGTATTAAAATTTACCCTAAATTGACGTTATTCTGGAGCGCAAATTGAACACCATTGACAACTTCAGGTAATTCTGGTACCAAAGCTAGCATCGTCACGCCAACAAAATACTGAAATAATAAAATAGAATTGTCACGTCAACAATATACTGAATCCTTGGTATGAATGATTGAACAGGTTTAAAACTGGAAACATTGATAAGCTCCTATATAAAGGAACAAGAGGGAAACAGCTGTTTTTTTTGTTTTTTTCAATATGCTTACAATCATATTTCATGTGGCATATATAGCAGATCATGACTCGTGTTACACAATGTTTTTCTCTGGGTTATATTCCTGATTGTTTGTTTACATTTTGAGTGAAGTCTGTATCCCCACAGGCCTGGGACTAAATCGCAGTGGACGCTTATGGCTAGCCCCCAGATCCATTCAATTAATCGGATATGTACGTTTGTTTGTGATTTCTGCGTCTTGTAAATAGATTTGTTTTGTGTAATTATGTGTGGTACAGTTCCTTTGCCCTTACCAAAGTCGTTGATATATTTCGACATGAATATTGTGCACAGAACCACGATTACAGTCATACCCACTAAGAATAAAAACCTCTTTGCACAGCCATCCCAGCAGGTTGTAATGACCTAGAGGTCTAGCTTAGGCCTCTAGCTAGCCAGTCACCTCTGGCTTGCGGTTGTGGTTTCAATTCCTGGTGTACGCTTTTGTGGCTTGGAGATAGGGGCGCCTTCTCAACCTCGTGGGTTTACTCCGGGTAATCTGGTTACCTCCCAAAGGAAAGACCTGTGCACGTGCGCTTAGATAATTAAAATAACTTGTCTGCGATATCACCTTCGGTGGAAGCGGAAGTTAAACACTAAGAACAACAACAATCCCAGCAGGGTGTAACACCAATCAGATTAAAATACAGATCTATATTTCGTTTCGTTTCTTTATACTTTCGATGGCCTACACTACATGAAGATCTGACAAGTTATAGCGATAGGTCACGTCAGGGGTCAAAAGACCGACTTATGACCCTATGACATCAGACATTTGATTAACCAATCAGTATTGATGTAACTAGTGGATTACCCATAGTTCCATGAAAAAAACACGCTTAAAGCTCGCCGTAACAGACCATTTCATTGGCTTATCCCTGACACCATTCAGAACACGCGTTAAATAACAACTCTTCCAGATCCAAGTGTAGTAAAGCCAAGTAAAACGAAATTTTGAACTATAAAAACGAAACGAAATAGGATCTGTGTTTTAATCAGATTGGGTGTAACACTGGCACAATGTATTGTTGTATCACGATTTACCTTATTTACCTATTTTGTGTCAAGTCTGTGTTGATCAACTGTATATTTACCTCGGATACTCCCGTACTCTCTAACAGTGGTTGCAGATTATTTGTTACCAGATCAGCACACAGCGCAATCAACACAGCACAGAACAATAATATTAACGTACTCTTTAGTCTCGACCACTGAGCAGCATCTATAATAATAATAATATCAATCATCAGCTACAGCGTCTGAAAGTATGATCATAATAAACAGGTCCCGAGTTCACAAAGCGTTCTCAGACTTAAAGTAAATGAAATGAAATGAAATGGGGTTTAACGTCCTACTGTTATGCAGCTAACCTGGGCTAATGGAAGACGGCATACGCCATACAGTGTGCTATGAGGGAAATTTTGCCCGGGCAGCGGCACTACGGCCTACTCTTATATCGAATTCCAACTGCCAAGGGATCTTTTACGTGCACGCCAATGTGTACACGGGACCTCGGTTTTTCGTCCCATCCGCACGACTAGACAGCTGTCCTTGCCAGGCCCTCCGTCCTGCATCACTGACAAGGGGAAACCACGCCGGAAAATCTGGATGAACTTTCTCGGCCAATGCAGGGATCGAACACCCGACCTCCAGGCTAGCGAGCCAGCGTCTTACCCACTTAGCCACCGTGATCTCCAAGACTTAAAGTAGCTAAGTCTCTAACTCAATATCATCCAAAGTCTTACATGTTGAAAACACGAATTATATGTCAATTCAAATCAACATTGATGTTGTAATCTTACCAGGAAAAGGTAGGCTTCTGATATTCAATATTTAAGACAAAATAAGCATTTCACCATTGGTACATGAATCGTGTACCATTGTGCGTTTCAGTGTCATTTGCAACATTTAGTGACCAGAAAGAATGAGGCTAGACATATTCAACAACTCATGTCAAACGGTGACGCCATATCTTATCTGGAGAGCATGCGCAATAGACTGGAATAACCAGATGCTAGAAATTGGCATTTGGTTGAGACTCATGCCGTATTTCGTTGGACATAACTGATTTTGAAATTAGAGTCAAAACAGAAACAATTGAATGTAGATCAGTTTGTATACAATCAGATTACATTATTATATGTGTTGCAACCCATTTGGGTCAATTTCTAGGTCCCTAATATTAGAGATTTAGCTCCTTTAAGTAAAGAATTTACTCAACTTTAAAGGTGAGTTTTAATATCATATAAATACCTTCATGTATTGTAAAGCTGAGTTTTAATATCATATAAATACCTTCATGTATTGTAAAGGTGAGTTTTATAATCATATAAATACCTTCATGTGCTGTAGAGCTCATTTTAAGCTGTTCGTTAAAAGCATCGTAGATATGAGCTGAATGTGTTTTTAACGTGAAGACCAGACCAACTATATAGGACAGTGGTAAGACAATTGCACACGCATAAATTAACGGCTCTAAATGTTTCTTATATAATGTATCATCACCATCGATACCACTCTAAAAAAATAATGATAAAATATAAATAAAAGATCCATAAAATATGATAAAATATAAATAAAAGATCCATAAAATATGATAAAATATAAATAAATTATAAGAAATATAAATAAAACGAAATGAAATGGGGTTTAACGTACTATTGTTCTGCTCTGAATTGGGCTAATGAAGACAGGCATATGCCATACAGGGTACTATGAGGGAAATTTTGCCCGGACAAGGATCTTTTCATGCACGCCAATGTGTGAGAGAGAGAGAGAAATGGGGTTTAACGTCCACTCGACACAAACTAGGTCATTTCGGGACTAACATGATTTAATTTTATTTACATAATTCGCTTGCGCGTAGGGGTCTGTAGCAGTGGGAGGAAACCGGAGGACCCGGAGAAAACCCACGAGGTTGGACAGGCGACCCTACTCCTTGCCACGTACAACCGGGGATTCGAAACCACGCCAGTCGACTCAATGACAGACTTTATGATACAGAGCGCGCACGCTAACCATTCAGCCATCCAACCCCCCACGCCAATGTGTACACGGGACCTCGGTTTTTAGTCCCATCCGAACGACTAGACAGCTGCCCTTTGTCAGGGCCTCCGTCCTGCATCACTGACAAGGGGGAACCACGCCATAAAATCTGGATGAACTTTCCGGCCAATGCAGGGATCGAGGACCTGACCTCCAGGCTAGCGAGCCAGTGTCTTACCCACTTAGCCACCGTGGTTAAGAGCAAGTAATGTTGTTAAACTGATATATTTTAATAACTTACTGTAACTTGTCGACAATCTTCACAAATAAAACCCTGTGTGTAATTAGACGTACTGTTTCCAGGGTAACCAGTATTATTCTTTAATTCACATCTACCACATTCAAGATCTCCATATATATTACTGAACAACGTAGGAGCAAATATTCCTGCAAGTTAAATAACCATTCATAGATTATCTCCCTTTACAGATCATTGTTATTACCTCCCTTTACAGATCATGTTATAACCTCCCTTTACAGATCGTGTTATTACCTCCCTTTACAGATTGTGTCTCTGACGATGCTCAATTGTCAGTCCAGAACGTTCTGAATTGACGGAACTGCAATCATTTGACACAGAATTCAGTCCTGTCACAGTTCTGACAATGGAGGTGGAATGAGTAGAATCGTGAGGTAATTAAACACAACGAATATGTTTCATCTGTCATGGTTGGTTGAGACATTTCTTCGTGCAGTAGGCACATGCATTCTAGCCCCAAATACCCATTTTCACACGATTGTCACTATTATTGGGTTTGATAAAATTTAATTCCAGTATGTTCAATCGAGCATCACCTAAGTGACAATCATATTTAAATATGGCATGTAACTATGGTAACTAACCTATTATAGAAACAAATAGTATAGATTGTATGGCATGTAACTATGGGGCGTAACTATGGTACGTAACTAACCTATTATAGAAACAAAGAGTAGAGAAGCACTGACAGAAGCAGATCTGGGATTAAAATTCTGGGTTCTATATTTAATACCACCCACAATCATACATACACCCTGAAAACAGACGATTCATAACATATATAATAACGATTAACGGTAAGTAAAAAGTTAAAGCTCACAGCATAGACAGGTGCAAAAAGTTAGAGCTCACAGCACAGAGACATGTAAGAATGCTAAAGCTCACAGCACAGATAGGTGCAAGAAGTTTAAGCTCAGACAGATATAATTATATCACTCACACTTCTGTACATAACATATTAGCCATAATGACAGAATAATTATATTTACAAAAGAAAAGGCAACACAAAAAAGTAGTATATCATAGAACATTAGTAGATAATAGATCATTAGTAGATCATAGATCATTAGTAGATCACAGATCATTAGTAGATCATAGATTGTTAGTAGATCATAGATCATTAGTAGGTGGTAGATGGTTAGTAGATCATAGATGGATAGATCATAGATTGTTAGCAGACCATAGATCGTTACTAGATCATTATAGTAGATCATAGATCGTTAGTAGATCACAGATTGTTAGTAGATCACTGATCGTTAGTGGATCACTGATCATTAGTGGATCATAGATCGTTATAGTAGATCACAGATTGTTAGTAGATCACAAATTGTTAGTAGATCACTGATCGTTAGTAGATCACAGATTGTTACCTCGCTGATCACCTAAATATTTAAATATACTTACTGGTATAAATAAAATACTGCACAAAATAGTTCCTGAAATAACAAGACAAACAAATATAAACATACATATTTTATAAAAAAAACTCTCTAAATACAAACAAACACAAAGTGACATACAGAGGTGATGCCCTGGATCAACTCCCCACAAATTGAAGTATAGAGCCTAGTAGAGAGAGAGAGAGAGAGAGAGAGAGAAAGAGAGAGAAATGGGGTTTAATGTCCACAAACTAGGTCATTTCGGGACTAACATATGGTTCAATCTTTTTATTTCAATAATTCCTTTTCGCGTAGGTGTCTTTAGCAGTGGGAGAAAAACCGGAGGAACCAGAGAAAACCCACGAGGTTGGACAGGCGACCCTACTCCTTGTCACGTACAACAGGGGATTGCCTAGTATAGAGATATGTTAGAAAGGAAGACATTTTAAATATTTTAAAAACAGATGAAATAAACTATTCAAATTAAACAGGTCAGTCTGTACAACAGTCTACAGCGACAATTTTAATTTTCCAAAAACTTAATTTTAAGTTCACTCATTGATTATATCAATAATTCTGTTGTGCTGAGTTTTATAGCAATGGGAAGATCGAGAGAAAACGCACAAGGTTAGGCAGCTTTAGTGACTGTGATATCATCTCCTAGTGACTGTGATATCATTGCCTTAGTGATTGTGATATCATCGCCATAGTAACTGTGATATCATCACCTTGCGACTGTGATATCATCACCTTGCGACTGTGATATCATCACCGAGTGACTGTGATATCATCACCGAGTGACTGTGATATCATCACTTTGTGACTGTGATATCATCGCCATAATTACTGTGATATCATCGCTGTAGTGATATCATCGCCATAGTGACTATGATATCATGGCCATAGTGACTGTCATATTGGGCTTAAATAAAAAGAAAAAAGACTTACCTGCGAGAGAAGATTTGACTAATTCTCCATAACACTGATTATTGGTATCTTTACCTTTCTTTAAAACTATCACAAATAATATAAGCTCAACTATTGAACCAAATGTTGCGTTCAATATGGCGCCAACAGCAAAGCTACTTTGAGCAGAAATACTGAAAAATAAAGAGAAGTTTTAGTAGTTGTACATCACATCATATTCAATATAATCCCAATAATCCCAGACTCATCTAATAATCAGGAATCCCAGCACTGACCAACTTTGAGACATAATTTGTATGAGTGTTCAACGATTTATAAAAATGAAATGAAATGAAATGGGGTTTAACGTCCTACTGTTCTGCTCCTAAACTGGGCTAATGAAGACGGGCATTCGCTATACAGTGTGCTATGAGGGAAATTTTGCCCAAACAGCGGCACTACGGCTTACTCATATATCGAATTCCAACTACCAAGGGATCTTTTACGTGCACGCCAATGTGTACACAGGACCTCGGTTTTTCGCCCCATCCGAACAAATAGACAGCTGTCCTTGTCAGGCCCTCCGTCAATGATTTATAAATTTGTATGTCCTTTAAAGTAGCTAAGTCCGTAACTCAATACCCTCCAAAATCTACTACAACATAATAAGTAAATAAACTGACAGCCCAACATAATAAGTAAATAAACTGACAGCCCAACATAATAAGTAAATAAACTGACAGCCCAACATAATAAGTTAATAATTTGAGTGTACCTTGTGATTGACAGCCCAATATAATAAGTCAAAGGAATGATGGCAAGAATAGCTAAAGCACATTTCTATAATAAAAAAAAACAAAAACAAATCAGAAAGAACATAGTTAATATGTATGGTATCATGCCCCCCCCCCCTCTCTCTCTCTCTCTCTCTCTCTCTCTCAAAATATTTAATGAAAATGTGTAATCAGAGGTAACATCAGGGATGGGGTAGTGTCATATTCCCGTACCCTGAGTAGCATGGAGTGGATTGAATCCTCAACCCCGAGTAGTAATATATCATCTTTCTGGGATGGATAACCCCACCTCGAATAGCAGTATATACCTATTTTGAGATAGATTATATCCCCACCCCAAGTAGCATGCGATGGTTTATATCCCCCCCTATGTAAAACTATGTCCCCTTTTCTGGGTTGGATTATATCCCCAGTCTGGGATGGATTAAATCCCCAGTGTGGGATAGATTGTATCCCCAGTCTGGGTTGGATTACCGGTTATCCCCAGTCTGGGTTGGATTACCGGTATATCCCCAGTCTGGGTTGGATTACCGGTATATCCCCATTCTGGGTTGGCTTATATCCCCAGTGTGGATTGGCTTGTATCCCCAGTGTGGGTTGGCTTATATCCCCAGTGTGGGTTGGCTTGTATCCCCAGTCTGGGTTGGCTTATATTCCCAGTGTGGGATGGATTATATCTCCCAGCCTAGGCAGAGGTATATCCCTGACCAAGTTAGAACTACATGTATACCTTACACTGAGAAGAGTTATAAATTATAAGAATGACTCACTGTAACACCATCTGTAATTTTATTATCAGCATCAGAATATCCGAGAGCTATTGACAAAAACACAAACACTAACAAATCTGATCTTTTATAATGAAAATAAAAACTCCAATTCTCACTAATTATAATAGTATTATTTCAAAATACAATAATGGAGGATGAAAGTGTTGTGAGATATCGTATAAAGTGCTGTCAGATAACATGTCTCTTTCGGCTATTATTCTAGATATTTTTAATTGACGCGTATACTATCTTCCGGATTATGTCTACTACATCGTTAACATGGTTCATCACCTCTATTTTGCATGCAGATAGTCCATTGGCGAATTATGCTATTTTACTGAGATTTCATCTAATGGTTTGGCGGCGTAGTGCCAGGCAGGGTTAGCTTACTCTTCTGGACACCTGTTACCATTCATTGTTTGTCGTGTAACATTCCATTTGCTGATTACACTATTTTGTCTATACTGTTTTTTAGGAATTTTGTCTAATGGTTTGGATTGTTCGTATTTGGCTTTATTTTATTTTATAAAATACTGTGAGCTAATTGATATAGGGTTGTGAGGTATCTGATAAAGTGTTGTGAGATATTTGATAAAGTACTGTGAGATATTTGATAAAGTACTGTGAGCTAATTGATAAAGTGCTGTGAGATATCTGATAATGTTCTGTGATATATTTGATAATGTGTTGTGAGATATTTGATAAAGGGTTCTGAGATATTTAATAAAGTGTTGTGAGATATTCTGTGTGATATGAGATATTCTATAATGTATTGTGAGATATTTGATGTGTTGTGAGATATTTGATGTGGTGTGGGACATCTTATAATGTGGGATATTTGATAAAGTGTTATGAGATAACTGATAAAGAGCTGTGAGATACTTGATAAAGTGCCGTGAAATATTTGATAAAGTGCCGTGAAATATTTGATAATGTGTTGTGAGATATTTGATAATGTGTTGTGATATATTTGATAAAGTGTTGTGAGATATTTGATAAAGTGCTGTGAGATATTTGATTAAGTGTTGTGAGATATTTGATAAAGGATACTAACAAGGATGACATTAACACCATCAATAGTAAATTTATAATAATATACATTAACAGATTGATGTGTGTATAGTATTATTTCACTGTGTAGTCGACCAGGATCCTGCAATATTACAAAATATATATATATATATATATATATATATATATATATCTATATATCTGGTTCTTTATAAAGAGGCATTATCACAAGAAATGAAATGAGTATATTAAATCATACCAAGACATCAAACCTAATCCATAATAAATGAGAAGAAGAATTATACATACCACCTCAACAAAAGCTGTGGAATTCACCAATACTTGTTCTGGTGGTAAAAATATAATCTTTTTGATAGCTTTTAGATTCACCTGAAATATATTATACAGGTATTTTCTATGTTACACAGCATATGATACAGGTAAACAGCTAGATATATACATATATCAAACATCAACCTATAGTTACCTTATTTGCCTCCTAGCACTCTAACAGGTAAATCAACTAGCTGACCCCCAATCAAGTAAATAACCTTCTAGCTCCCTAATATGTAAATAGTCCCCTGGCTCCCTAACAGGTATATAATCTACTAGCTCCCTAATAGGTATTTAATCTTCTAGTTCCCTAACAGTTAAATAATCCCATATCTAGCTCCCTAACAGGTATATAATCTCCTATCTAATTCCCTAACAAGTAAATAACTTCCTGACTAAAATAGATATATAACCTACTG